CTGGTGCCACCCCGAGCCCGCAGAGGAGGAGAGGTGTCCCTGCACATCTCTGCAGAGCTCGGTGCTCTGGTGCTTCTGCTGCTCTGTCTCCTCCTCTGTGTTTTGTCTTCAAGGAGAGAGGACAGCAGCCCCCAAAGCCTTGGGTTTCCCCCAAAACCGGATGGAAGGTGGAACATTATCCTGCTCCCCTGGCAGCGCTGCTCCACGACAATTCCCCTGGAGAGCAGGGTGGCCTGGTGGAGGACAGCAGTGGTTCCTTCCCAGGAATGACTGCAGCACCGAGGCGTTGGCACTGCCCAGGACCTCCCCGGTGCTCCCCACACTGGGAAGCAATGTGAGTTCAGGAATGCTGTCCTTGTGATAGCTCAGGGCGTGGATGGGCACAGAAGTGCTGCCTTTGAACTGCAGTGAGCTCAGTGCCACAGCGCAGCCCCGAGTCTCTGTGCACAAAGTGTCATCAGCCCTTGCAGCAGGAGCTGCCAGAGCGTTAAACTCCAGCTCTGCCTCAGTGCCAGCTGATCCAGAATGGCTGGGAAGCAGGAATGTGCTGGTCCTGCATCAGTTCCACTCCTTCCACAGTCAACTTCTGTTTTTCTTTTTCTTTTTTTCTTTTTTTTCTTTTTTTTCTTTTTTTTTTTTTTGCAAAATCTTAGAGAGGAGCTGTTTGTGATGTGATGGTCACTTCCCAAACGTGAGAAGGCTTTGGATGTCTGTCTCCAAGGCAGCCCTGGCAGATGCTCTGAGCAGCTCCAAAGCGGGGCAGCCATGGGAAAAGATGATGGGAAAAGATCCACTGGTGGAGATTGGCTGTGCTGGCCTCTCTGGTGGGAGATGGCAGCTCAGCCCAGAGTATCTGAGGGTTTATCAGCCTCCAGAAGAATGTTTAAAGCTGATCACCTTGCCCCAGGGAAATTAAACCCAAGGTCTTTGTGTTTTCCCCGAGGTGCCACAGCCCAGGGAGCAGCAGCAGCACCCAGGGCCCACAGCCAGGCTGCCAGGAGAAGGGCTGCCAGGCAGGGATGGAGCCAGGCTGCCAGGAGAAGGGCTGCCAGGCAGGGATGGAGCCAGGCTGCCAGGAGAAGGGCTGCCAGGCTGCTGGCAGCCAGCAGCTCGTGTGCAGGGAGCCGCCAGGGCCGGCGGGGAGCGTGGCAGGGCTCGGCGGGAGGGAACGCAGCTCCCTGGAGCACGGCTGCCCTGCTCAGCCAGGCTGTGCCACCCTCGTGCTCCCTCTGGTTAGAGACCATCCCAAGGTGTGTTAAAAGGCTCTTTTCCCCAGTCCAGTTGTCGAAGAAGAGATCAGGAGTCTTCGGCTGTCGTTCTCAAGGTTGTTTATTATTTTTTATCTAAAGCACTTTCTGTCCGGCCTGCCAAGGTCTGTTCTGCAGGTCAGTCTGAGGCTCACTGCCTGCCCACGGGGCTGGCGTTGTCTTTTATACTACAAACTAGGTATTCAATATTTACAGCTGTGTCCCAATACCTATCACCTATGTTAGACTGTGACTTTCTACTCCACACCAATCCCAAAGTGCCACCATCACCAAGCAGATGGAGGCTGGGAAGAAGAAGGAAGAAGGACAGGACAATGCCCAAATCCCTCCATCTTGTCCCTAGACCCCCGTAGTCAAATTCTTCAAAATTCCACCTTTCACCCTGTGACAACTGCTGTTATGCTACTGAAAGCTTTGTGCCTTGTAATTCTTCATATAAGGTTGGCAATTTGCTCCGTGGGTTGCACTCAAAGCCACAGGGGTCTCTGGCTGCACACCAGGGTCTCCGAGCCCGTGCCAGGGCTCTGAGCCATCCAGGCAGCCAGAGGGACGTCCTGGGTTCCGACATGCCAGCCTTTCCCAGGCAGCAGGAGCCAGCAGCCCGTGCCCACGCTGCCACTCCCCTCGTGCCTCCCCCACAGAGCAGCCCCAGAACAGGCTCCTGCCGTTCCCCCACAGCCCAGCCTCGGATCCGCTGCGCCAAGGTCAGCCCCAGCTCCCCACGCCCTTCCATATCTTTTTCCAGACTCCCTCTGACCCGTGAGCCACTGCTGTGTGCCAACACAAGAAGTCTCCAATGAACTGGCCTCCCAGGAGCCTGATGTTTGTTCCTAGCTGCACTGGTTCAACCCCAAATGCAGCCAGCCACAATTTGCTCAGCTGGATGTGGGGGTTCAGCCAAGACAGGCACACTCCCAGTGTTATAGCAGTTTTTTTGAGTTAGTTTTTATAAGCTTTTGGAGGTCTCTAATACACTTAAGATAGTTCAGATACTTTTGGAGGCATCAAAATTAGCAGGATGGCTTCTGCTGCAGTGTTGGCAACAAAAAGGTTTAAGAAAAGGCAAAATAACAAAGAGAAAAACTGAGTCAGGTGCAAAAGGTTTTTGTTTCTGGTAAAACATTTTGCAAAAGTGATTCGTTTCTTTGTTCACTCCTTTTTCTAGTTAATTGCCCAGGCGGGACTTTTTGGCTCCTGTCCAGTTGGCTATCCTTAAGTTTGAGGTGAAGTCCCCAAGGTCCTATGAGGTGGCTTTTCACCTAATCGAGGAGAAAAACTTCTGGGCTTCTTTCCTTTTTACGGGGACAAAGGATAGCTTTGTCACTCGGTCAACAGAGGGCACGTTCCTGCATGCCAGCCCTTCTGTGCTGAGCCTCTCCTTGCTGCTGACCAAGCCCTGTGAGCCTGGCCAGGATCCTCTGCTCCTGGGGAGAATCCCTGAGCCCTGGCATGAGCACCCAGAGAGCTGCAGAACCCTTCCCGCAGCTCCTGAAGTAAACCCATTTCAGGGGGCTCCTAAATCCATCCTTCCCTCACACATCCCTGCTTCCCTAGCGCTCGGAGCAGCCCAGTCTGCTGCTGAGGATGCTTGTCAAGCTGCCCCAGCCCGCGGATGCCACGGGCACCAGCCAGCCGGGAGCCGGGGTGACCCGGGCGTGTGACACCGGGACCCCGAGGCAGCTGCCACAAGGTGGCACTGGCATCTTGTCACCCAGCCTGGTGGCATCAGCCGGACACTCCCGGCGGGGGCACCTGGGGCGTCCCCCCGGCCCAGCCCAGCCCAGCTCAGCCCAGCCCAGCCCAGCATAACCCAGCCCTGCCCAGCCCAGCCCAGCCCAGCATAACCCTGCCCTGCCCAGCCCAGCCTAACCCAGCCCTGCCCAGCTCAGCCCAGCCCAGCCCAGCCCAGCCCCGCCGCAGGCTCTGGTCCGAAATTACCGAATTTTTTCTCCACTGGATGGACAGTGGAGCTGCCAACGGATCACTGTAACCACTGCTGCAGCAGCTGTGTCTCGCAGGAGGGATTTTCACCCTCGCAATCTTCCAGATTAGGGATGAGCAGCATTTTTTTTTCCCCCCAAATTTTTATATTTTTATTACACGCTGTCCTTCAACAGGGCTTTCCCCCTTGTCGCAGCATCAGAAGAGATTCCGGAGTCACCAGATGCATCCCTCTCTCCCAGAAGTGGGAAAAGCAAGAATTCCACCTCGCTGGGGGCATTTTGGGGTACCATGCTCACCATCCAGCCCCCACCCCATGGCCCCACATCCTGGCCCTGGCTGCTGCACGGCTCATCCCGCTGGAAAGGCTGGTGTGGAGGAGGACAACCCCCGGGGAGGTGGAGGAAAAGGATCAGCACAGAGTGCGTCTCTGTCCCTCCTGGCCCCATTCCCTGCTTTATTTGCAGGTGAAGGTTTGTTTCCCTTTCCCAGCGCCGCAGGTGCCGGATAAACGGAGCGAAGCCTCTGGAGCCGCTTCCCGCTCGGGCCAGGTGCCCCAGGACACCTGTGCCCAGGGAGCCGTGCCTGGCTCAGGACTGCCCTGGGATCACCCCGAACGGGCTCCCCACTGCCCCGTCCCGCTTTGTGCCCAGGCCAGGGCAGGCACAGCGGGACCCGGCACTGCCCCGCTGCCAAGGCTCCCAGCCCTGCCCCAAACACACCCGCAGCCGCTATTATTCCTTGGATTAGGGTTTGGCGTCACTGCTCGGGCTCAGGATTGCAACTGTGCTTAACCTTGGAATGCAGGCGGAAAGGCCCCGTGGGCCAGCTAATCTAGCTGCAATTAAAGGCGCTCATTATGCCATTATGAGCAGGTTGGGACGTGCGGGAGGGACACCGGCGCTGCCCCACAGCCTGTTCTCAAGGACAGGGACGTTTACCGTCCTGGACACCGGCCACCCCACGGGCCAGCTCCAAAGCCAGCCAGCTTCCCGGCAGAGCCAGAGCCAAGGAGCCCAGCAGGACCCAGAACATCTCCTTCCCGTCCTCCGCTGCACCCTCACCCCATGGAAAACGCATTTGGGACCGGCGGTACAAAAGGCCAAAGCTACAGCTGACAGCAGGAAGGAAGCAGGAAAGAGCCCGGCATCGCCATCCGGAGCCTGGAGAGGCCTTGGGAGATGCCTGGAGCCACAGACCTCCGGCCAGGCCCGCAGCGTGCCCGCGGCTCCGGCAGCGCTGCCCGCACAGCAGGGGACAGAGGGACAGAGGGACAGAGGGACAGAGCCTCCGGCTGGGAATGCTCGCTCCAGCCCGGGGATATGTCCCATCCCGGGGGATTGTCCCATCCTGCTCCATCCCGGGGGTTTGTCCCATCCCGGGGGATTGTCCCATCTCACTCCATCCCAGGGGTTTGTCCCGTTTGTTCCATCCTGCTCCATCCTGGGGATTTGTCTTATCCCGCTCCAACCCGGGGGTTTGTCCAATCTCACTCCATCCCGGGCATTTGTCCCATCCCGCTCCATCCCGGGAATGTGTCCCATCCTGCTCCATCCCGGGGGTTTGTCCCATCTCGCCCCATCCCGGCGATCTGTCTCATCCCGCTCCATCCCGGGGGTTTGTCCCATCTAGGGGCTGTGATGCCACGGGAGTGCTGCCCCCGAATCCCCCCTGGCAGCACGCAGGCACAGGTTATCCCTGCAGCATCCCCTGGCTCTGGCACAGAGCCGTGCCCCAGGGATCGCCCCAGGCTCTGCTCGGAGGAGAAGCAAACACGAGTGCCCCGAGCCCAGCACCTCCTTTAATTCCCTTTAATTCCCTGCCAGAGCAGCAGGGCCCAGCCCAGCTTAAACATCACAGCGTCTCAGCACCCGAAAACCCCCTAAGCACGGTCACAGCTGCTGGCAGCCCAGGGAGGGCTGATCTGAGCAGGGAGATGGGGAAATACTCTCCTTGAAGGCTCCTGCCAACCCCGCAGACCATGGTGGGAAAGGAGCTGCCCTGCCAGCCCAGGTGGAGCCCGGGTGGGTCTGCAGGACCAGCACCTGCATGCAGCTCACATTCTTCCAGCCAGGGCATCCTGGCACTGCTCAGCCAGGACTGAGCTCCTCCATGACTGAGCTCTGGGGGGTTCCAGCAACTTTGGGGGGTTCCCAGCAGCTTTGGGGGGTTCTCAGCAGCTTTGGGGGGGTTCTCAGCAGCTCTACAGGGTTCCAGCAGCTCTGGGGGGTTTCAGCAACTTCGGGGGCTCCCAGCAGCTCTACAGGGTTCTCAGCAGCTCTGAGGGGCTCCCAGCAGCTCCGGGGTCCCAGCAGCTTTGGGAGCTCCCAGCAGCTCTGGAGTCCCAGCAGCTCTGGGGCTCCCAGCAGCTTTGGGGTCCCAGCAGCTTTGGGGACCCAGCAGCTCTGAGGCCAGCAGCGCTGCCGCACCCCACAGCGAGGGGATGTGCCCAGCGCGGTGGCCCCCAGCCCGGTGTCTCCGGGGCCGGCTCAGATCATGGAGACCCTGTTCTTGATGTAGACGTGGGAGGGATTGCAGTGTGTCCGGGGACGAGGCGCGGGCCGGCTCAGATCATGGAGACCCTGTTCTTGATGTAGACGTGGTAGGGGTCGCTGCGCTTGTCCACCTTGCGGGAGCGGGTGTATCCCAGGATGAGGCTGCCCACGGTGGCGGCGAAGAGCGTCATGACGAACAGGATGTACATGTAGGCGTGGGCGTTGGCGTGCTCCCCACGCGTGGCTCCTGCGGCGGGGCTGGCCGGGGCCCGGCCCGGGCAGGGCACGGCCCCGTGCAGGGTCTGGTTCAGGGCGCCCAGCAGCGCCTGCAGGCTGCGCTGCCACGGCTCCGTGCGGTTGGTGCCGTCCATGTCCCCGCAGGCTGCAGGGAGGACAGGCTCACAGGGGCTGCCCCGCGGTGAAACTGCCCCCGGGGCTCTGCACGGCCCCACACTGCTCCTCTGCCACAGAGCGGGGGGCCAGACCCTTTGCAGTGCCAGCAGCCCTCTCCCCGGATTTCTGTCCTTCCGCAGAGGAGATAAAGCTCCCAGGGCTCTGGGGCAGCTGCCTGCTCCCTCTCCTCCCCGGGGCTGGGGACAGTGTGGGGACACAGCAGTCCCGAGGGAGCAGGAGGGCTGGGTTCAAAGTCTGCTTTCCCCAGGGGTGTGTGGGAATGGTGGGCACATATCCTGCAGGGTGCAGAGCTGGCACAGCCCCTCGCAGGTCACTGTGAACACACCTTGAGGGGTTGCTGCCCGAAACCTCCCCGGGGATCTCCCTTCCCTGTGGGTTCCAGACCCCCTGTGACCTGCCATCCCTCCTTTGGCATGGTGCCCTTCTGCCAGCCCCCCGGGCTCCCTTGTGCACCCTCACAGCTTGCTGGGGCCCCGGGGCAGGCACGGCCAGGAGGGGACATGGGACACAGCCCCCACGTGTGCCATCCCCGCTGCTGTCCCCCAGGGATCCAGCCTGTCCCCAGCACTCCCCACCACCCCTTGCCTGCTGCACCCGCAGCTCTGCCCGTGCAGAGGCAGCTGATCCCAAACGGGCCACCTTAAACTCGGGGTGCACCTCCAGGATGAGACCCCAGCTGCGAGGAGGAGGAGGGAAGGGCTGAGCAGCCACGAGCCCACGGGGATGAGGTCGGATCTGGCTGCCTTGCTGACCGAAGAGAAGTAGGCTGAATTTGGGAAAGTCTGGGGCAAGATCTGCGTGTATCCCAGGAGGGCACCCACAGATGTGGCACGACCTGGGGGTACCCACCTTAGGGGGGGTGTAAGGGCAGGGAGGGGATCGGGGGGCTCGCACTCACCTCGTGTGCCCTCTGTGCCGCTGCCAGGCTGAGCCGGGACTGAGCATCGCTGCCCGGGGAGGGATGCCGCGGGCTGGGAGCGCCGCCAGCCTCCTCCCCTTCCCGGGCAGAGCCACCTGCCGCGGCCACCGGCGTGTCCCCAGCCCCGGGGGCTGCCAGCGCCCCGGCGGGGCTCGGCGGGGCTCGGTGGGGCGGGAGAGCGGCGCTCCCTCCGCCTTCCCCCGGTCACGCTTTCCTGTCCCTCCTCGTCCGGCACGGCGGTCCCGAGCCCCGACACGGCACCGAGCCTGCCTGGGCACGTTCCCCTGCCCAGCGCTCCCGCCCGGAGCTCAGCCTGCTCCATTCCCCCAGCCCCGCTGGGCACCCGCGGGCGGCTCACAAGGAGTGCCGGAGCTGGGCAGCAGCACAGAGACCCCAGAGCTCGTGGGGCAGGGAGAAGGCACGGGACAGCAGCGAGGGGCTGTGCGTGGGGTCAGCCCCTGCTCGGGGCAGGGTGTGGGTACCTCAGCCTCAGGCTGGCTCCTGAGCCCGGAACAAACCCACCCACGAGCTCGGCTCAGGGTGCTGCAGCTGGGACAGCGATTTCAGCAGCACCTCCTGCAGCCCCACAGACCCCGTGCACAGCCGCAGGTCTGCCCAGCTGGAATGTTGTGTAGTCCCACAGGATCCACGACTGCCGTGGCTGCTCTCCTTGCGAGCCTTTCCCCTCCTCCTCCCCCTTTTCCACAGCGCCCCAGTGGCCTGTCCAGCAGTGCCTACAGCCACCTTCCTCCCGCCCTGGCGCCAGGATCTCTGCCACGTGAGAATTTCCCTGGGCTCAGGGTGAGAAAAAGGTTGTCATTGATAAAGTCTTGGGGTAAATAAATGAGAAAGGGATCGGCAGCCAAAGTTCCCAGCAACTCTCTTTATATATAAAATCTGCCTCTTTCAGCAAGGGAAGGATGACCCATGTGAGTTCATGTGAATTCATGAGCATTCACACAAATCTTTAATTTTTGTGGGGCAAAAAGCAGAAAAAAACCCACAAAAGCACCTGTTTGGGTACTTCCCCAGCAAGTGATGTGGGGACATGGTACCCACAGAGGGATGGAGACTCACAGGGCTGGAGAGAACAGCCCCAGTGCAGGTTTGGATGGTCAGTGGCACCCACGGAGGTCTCAGATGAGGGATGGAGACTCACAGGGCTGGAGAGAACAGCCCCAGGGCAGGTTTGGACAGTCAAGCAGCAGCCTGAAACCCTGTGCCATGGTCCACTCACAGTCCACAGGCAAAGGCACGAGAACTCGTCTCACAAGAGAGACCCCGGGGCTGCCCTGGCACCAAAACACCCGGCCAAGGCAGCACGGCAATCCTAATCCCCGGGCTCTTCTGAGGAGACCAAAGTGCACTCAAACACCTCCTGGAAGGAGTCGAGGAAGGGCTCGAGGACGTGGCTGACGGCGACGTGCTGGCCCAGCTCGTGGCTGAGCGAGGTGACGCCCTTGCCCTCCAGCCCGCAGGGGACGATGTGCTCGAACCACGAGAGGTCGGTGCAGCAGTTCAGCGCCAGCCCGTGCGAGGTGATGTGGTTCCCGCAGTGCACACCTGCGGGGAGAGAGCACCCAGCCGTCAGCACCGCCACTGCCCTGCGGGGAGAGACTGAGACCATCCTGCCCCGGCACGCCGTGCTCCTTTCTGCCGGGGAAACGCACAGACAGGCTCCCCAGAATTGGGGCAGATGGGGTGCAGCATGTACAGACCCTCCACCCCGGCCCTGCACCCCCAAACACCTCCCACCGCCGGAGATTCCAATGGGCTCGGACATGGGGAGAGCTGCAGGACCCCAGTCCAGGCTGCAGGGTCCCAGGAAGAGGCACAGGACGTGGAGGGGTGCAAGGGCAGGGGGCAAGGCCGGGGGCTGGGCTGCAGGCTGGCAGACCTGGGAGCAAGGGGTGCCAAGTGCTGGGGGCTGGGTGGGCTGCAGGGGCTCCAAACTGTGCTGGCCCTCTTCAGGAGGCCAATCCCACCCCTGCACGCTCCCCGGTGCCCACCCACCCTGTCTGGTGCCTACAGATCCAGGTTTCTGCAGGGGTCTGCCCCTGTGCCCAGGGAATCGCAGGATGGTTTGGGCTGGGAGGTGTTCCATGGGCAAGGACACCTCCCATCATATCCCAGATTGCTCCAAACCCCATCCAGCCTGGCCTTGGACACTTTCAGGGATCCAGGGGCAGCCGCAGCTGCCCTGGCCTGTGCCAGGGCCTGCCCACCTTCACAGGAAAGAATTCCTGCCCAATATCCCATCCATCGCTGCCCTCTGGCAGTGGGAGCCATTCCCTGCCTCCTGTCCCTCCATGCCCTGTCCCCAGTCCCTCTCCATCTCTCCTGGAGCCCCTTTAGGCCCTGCCAGGGCTCTGAGCTCTCCCTGACCCTTCCGTTCGGCACGCCCGCTGTCCATCCCGGCTGCAGTGCCACCGGGGGCCGTCCCCGCTCACCGATGGCACAGAGCTTGCTGTCGCCCATCCAGACCCCGGTGAAGGGCGGCGGCAGCGCCCGGGCCGAGCGCAGCCCGAGGCGGCGGCACAGCCGCAGCACCAGCGCCTCCAGCCCGGCCACGTAGGCGCGGAGCGGGAGGCGGCGCTGGCGCAGGTCGAGCACCGGGAAGGCGAGCAGCTGCCCGGGGCCGTGGAAGGTGATGTGCCCGCCGCGCCGCGCCGCCACCAGCGCCGCGCCCC